CTCACTCTCACATTGTAGATCAAATTTCACTTGCCGCTGTGAATGGAATAATTCAAGCTGTTTACAATACATTTGTGGGCGGTGATAGTACAGCATCAACACCCGGCACCGGTATTGGTCAATACCCAGCGTCTGAGATCCCAGGTAATGCGTGTGATGGTGATACATCAACTAAGTATTTAAGTTTTGGACCATGTGCAAGCACCGATGATAGTGATCAGTGTGGTTTGAACACTGGCTTCTATCTTGAGTTACAACTTGGATCAGCTGTAGTGAGGGCGTTACAAATGTACACAGGCGGTGATGATTCTGAACGTGATCCGCTAATCGTGTCGTTAGAAGGAAGTAATCAATCAGGATCAAATCTGGCACTTGGTAGCAGTTGGACTCTTATTTATAATGGCAATAGTGGACTACAAAACGATCCGGGCCGTATGAGCAGCGGCTCGATACAACCAATAAGTAACACAATTTCTTATAAGAGTTATCGATTTCTTGTGTCTGGAAAACGAGCAACGTCAAACAGTGTCCAGTACTCTGAACTGAGATTGTATGGATACTAACATGTTTATCTCACCGTTGCAAACTAATTCAACGCTCTGCCAGTCCAGGTTCTCCTCTTGTAGAGTTTAACGTCTTGAGTTTTTTGTCTTTTCAAAACGCGTTTGTTTATTATCATATCTCATTGTTGTAAGCATTCATCACTCTTACACTTTTCTGCGCTTGTAAGTTTTATCTGATTCCACTATCTATACCATTATGGGCAAACTGTGTTATAGTATAAATGGATTGTTCATTTTAAACAAGTAACGCTCATCCTTTGGATTCGCTTACCCTTTTCTGAAAGATTTTTCCTAATGCTGAACACATTCATAGACTTTGAAGGAGAAAAAGCGCACTGCGATTGCTACTAGTGCTCAACTGAATCATGGCACTATGTCACACACTAGAATGAATAGGATGCAAAAGTCTTTTTAGGAATCAGACCGATTAGCCATTTGTCAGTGGATAATTCTCCAGCACTAATTATGTCGACTGAAAAATTGATCGCTCAACGGCTAGTCAGACGGCCACTCACGGCCAACCATTGACCTTTGTCATGTGTTTTTCTATTTTCACATCACGCGCATGGAAATTTTCATAAATGATTTACTAAGTCACTCATAGACGGATGATATACAGTAGACTACTTGAAAAGTTTGAACATTCGCCTATGTCTTCCAGCGATAAACCGATTCTCTTCTCTCCTGTCAACGAAATGATACCTTGGCGAATATTTTCATTCAGAAATATCCATTCGTCAAATTCGTTTCAAAACTATCGGAAGCCTGGCAAGGATATTCTAAGCGTACACTTTAGGATTAATCTAACATTTAAACGCCTAGTCGTTGACGCACATTATTAGTTTTCATAGTTTTTTCATAAAAAGAAGTAGCTCGTTGATACTGAGTCGATCTGTGATCGAAGTTATCAAAACCTTTCGTGACTGTGTAGTTTACAGTACATATTCTATTGCTCTGTTCAATTTGAAGCGCTGATAATGTGCAATCCCTATTCTCGAAGCTCGAAAACACATCAATTACGTTCGTTCAAAAATCATTGGCTTTAGTTGAGACAGTGATAAATCTCATCTTTCAAGTAATTTTCGAAATAAACGTCTAGTCGTTCGTCGACCTCCCTCCGGTCGGTCACTCACGGCTAGCCGTTGCCATCCTATCTATGTTATTCCTTTCGCCTTTGATCAACTTTCAAACTGAACGATTGGATTTTCTTTTATTGTCGCTTCGACAGTCATGATCTTCTATTCATTCGACTACCCAAAAAAACTAGATAAGAAAGTCTTATTCTATAATTTGCTTCGAAACGAACATCTTTCATAGTGCTGTATGTGTTCAGAATACTGTTTCTACAGTTCACGCGTCTGTAGTTCCTAAGATGGAATTCTATCGACGGGTATATCGCTTTGCGAACTACTTCTACTAAATTCTCATCAAAGGACATGATGTCTGTAGGCTACAAAGCAAAGATGATACTAAGCTCATATCACTTTTTCGGATTTCTTGAATTAGAAATATCATCACGTACAATGCATTAGATATTTTCGTGTAAGTTCTTGAGTTACTATCTTTGTACGCATGACGTCCGTGAATAGTGTTCAGCTCACCATCTTCTACAAAAGATTTTAGAACAGATAAAGAAAAAATATCTCCTTTGTAAACAGAAAGGAACAAGCCCAGGCTCAGCGAATAAGACGAAATTCATCCTCAACTTCGAATTTCCCGACGTCAGAAACCCTTCGGTCTACTCTGACAATGGATGTTATTAAGTCGTGGCTAGTTAATGAAAAACTAATAATTAATTAATCAACACTAAGCTCGGATTCGAGATTCTCGACCCCAATTATCCTTCGGTCAACCCTTACTTGACAACACCAAATTTTTCATTTCCTAATTAGTAATTAGCTAATGAGCTAATTAGAATTTCGAGAAACTAACCTCAGATTCAAGTTCTCCGACCTTGATTACCCTACCGGTAATCATTTTCTAGCAACTATCGATCAATTTCATTGAGTTTAGAAATGCTGATTTCTGATTGGATAGGACAGACTGACAGACAAACTTTAAGCTTTTTAACACAGCATTTAAACGCTGTATAACCCTTTCTTTCAGAAAAGGGAACATATGCTTCTATAAAATTATTTTCTCTATTCTAATACTATTATCCTGTCAAAAGGATGCTAGTGCGATGTTCAATATGATTAAAAACAGTACGAAGAGATATTAGTCCTTTATTTCGAACAATTCATACGAAAAAACTGCTGTATACAATGTTCATTGCAAACAAATGCAGAACACTTATAACATTTAGTTGAAGTTTTTCTGTCTTTAGATGTTTCGCATATTGAACACCGCTTTCGTTTTCTTTGTGAAGGATCTTCATTTGATTCTTGTAAATTTCTTTTTGTTACAGGATGACCAACAATAGCTAAAGCATTTTCAATATCTTTATGTAGAAATGTTGAGGTCTTCGAACGAAAATCCAATAGAGGAGTTACAAGACTAAGTCCGAGTTCTTCTATGAATAATCGACGTTGGTATCTCTTGTTTCGATTCCGTTCTGGATTTTTCGGCTTCCATAAGATAAAAGCATTCAGAGCCGCCATATCTATCATACCATAAAAAATACATAGTGGCCATCGCTTTGTACCTCGTTGTACCTACAAATAATAGGATAGAAAGATAAAATATTAAAAATATTTTTACTGTATATTTGTGACACATTTGATCAACAGAATCAACGGCTCCCTTGGTTCTGTTATAATCCAAAACAATAAATAACGCTCGTCGGAGGTGACTCGCATTACCCTCGACTGAAAATATCACAATATATTATCAATTTGATATTTGTTTTTCTCTGTTTCAGTTAAGAAAAATACTTTCTAATATAATATAAACTGCATTTATTTATTTCTCTATGAAGTAAAGACACGCTAACGATATAATGATCAACTGCATAAAAGAAAAGAAAAAACAAGTGAATATTGATTGGATATAAACAAATACAGATTGGAAAAGCTAAACAAAAAATACATCTGCAGAAAAATTCGAAAAGAAACTTGTACTTATATTTGCAAACAATAAATGAATAGACAAAAATTTGAATTATACAA